CACCACTCTCAACACTGGTCCTGAAGGGATCATCCATCCTTGATTCCCTGTGTTTCCAGTTCCTATCTGTACCAGTGTACACCTCTGGTCTAGGTAGAATTGTAAGGTAGAATTGGGATCATGATAGTAGGTGAGGAGGAAGCATTTAAGAACTAGAGGAAAGTTGTATGTTTCATCATTGCTACACTGCAGATTGAAACCTATGATGAAGCACAAAGTTCTCAGAAAAACATTTCTTGGGTTTCCTGAGCTATTTCAATTTAAAATGGCTTTCAAGGGCCAATTTTTTGGTGTACTTTTAAGACTCGAAGAAAAACTAAAAGAAAACATTTTAGGGTAAATAACTCACACGTGGATTATTTTAACTCCTAAGGAAACCAGAGACTAAACAGAAATACTAACATAATTAAGCTAAGTGTTTGGAAAGAGAACAACCACAGGTATATGTCCATATTCAAACAATCAACAATAATAGCAGCTACTTTCTATAAAGCTTCAGGTTATATATGAACAAGGAACTTACCAGGATATTTTATTGTTACTGTACTTCACAACCTATAGCTCTAACTTTACCAGTTTTTCTAACCTTTATTTTATGAATTTATTAAATCTGCCAATAGAAGCTTTCAATTTGAAAGTCATGATATTTTAAACCCACAAGGTAAAGCATCTGAGAGAAGAGCAAGAAGTAGCTTTACTTACAGAGGATACTTTTTAAATTCCTACAATATTTACACACATGGAACTTATAGAAGCTTTCCATCTGTGTAGTAGCTTATTACTATTCTTGAAAATTTTTGGATCAGCTATAACTCAAAATCTTGCCACCTTCCATAATGTAGCAATTTTTATTTAGACTTGTGGGCTCCAACATAGGGTATTAGGCCTTTCAATAAGTTTGGTATAGTCCATTTTCTGACAGGAATTTTGATTAAGTGCCTTCGTGGGTCCACAAAGCAAAAGTTAACAATAAGTGGCAAAGCTTGGCATGGTCATGGTTAAAGTTACAGTAAAATATACACAAATATATATAAAATAACCATGTTCAAAAGTTTCAGATATAACCAAACTTCAGTTACCAAACTTTTCTATTGTTTCTCGGTTGTATGATTGAGAAATTATTGGAGAGATTTATTTGCTCTCTTCTCTCAACATTGCTGCCACTGGTCAAACACACCTATTTGTGTTCACTATTAGAATGTACACTCAACTATGTGATATGTTGTAGTGATTCACAGCTTTTCTTCATTCTAAAATAACTTAATACTACAACGGTTTTCAATCGTTTCTTAGTCTCTTGTTTTCCACATCTAAGCAAAGTTTACTTTCACTCACTTTCTTTAACGTCCTACTTACCCTGAAATTCGCTTTACTGGACATTCACATGCTGGTATGACCAGGCTTTCTACTCCAAGACAAGACTACTTTAATTTTCCTTTACTCTCCCCTGCCCCTCCAAAACAAAAACTCACCATCACTCATTCTGACCTCCTTCCAGCGCCTCAGCCAGGTTAAGTTTCCTCAGTGGGTTTATCACCGGAAATGTTACACTTTAACTAATTGACTGTAATATATGCATTTCAAAACAAGGAAGATAAACTAACCTGAAAAGGCATCAAGTCAAAAAACAAATCCCAGCCAACCCTACAGACAAGCAGAGAGGTGCAAAAGAAACAAGCCAGCCATCAGGATCTTGTCTTATTAAGATACACTCACAGGATACTCTATTAGAGCATCCAGACAAAACAGCAAGCCCAATGTTCACAATGTCTGAACAGTCCTCTTGTCCACTTTAATGACCTCATTGGTGGAATAGCTTCAATTGACACTTCGAACAGTCCTCTTGTCCAAGATTCAAAACTTAGATGACAGAACACTGTTTAACCTCCCTGGCGGTCTAATTATGTCAGTAATCTTGTTAAGGGACTTCTCTGCAGTATAATCCCGAGTGTGGCTCGGGGTTACCGCTTCTGACAATTAACATTTACCCCGAGCCACACCCAGGACTGCCAGGGAGGTTAACAAAACATTAAGGATTAGTCACAAAGTAAAGGGCAAACCATTGGCCGAATTAAGACTTGTCACAGGCAACAAGGAAAATATGAAAATGGCAAGTATATGGTCATCTCAAGTTGTCAATTATTGGGCAATCTCAAAGCAATCGATATTTGAACCAAAGTCCAATGACTCCGAAGTCCACAACCTATGGATAGTAGTCCTCCGCTTTTTCTTACACTGGGGGCTCAGCTTCAAATCCACAGGAGTATTTCAGTTTCCTTTATCCTGCATCAGGTGTGTTAAAGCAAAGTCCAGTTCCTATAGTGAGAGGAATCATGAAGAAAGCTGTATATCTAAAAACAAACACAAATTTGAATTCCAAAAACCAGGCAGCCTACCACATGAAGCCTAGGTCACTAAAAGGCGGAAAACAAATTTTGTCAGAAATTCACAATTAGTAACATGATACACGGTGGATTCTCTCATTGGGAGCCTATACAAGCCGCAATAAGCATTTCTTCAAAGGCAGGCTGCACTTCTCTGGTTTGTTTACTAACAGCATCAGATCATTCTCTTCAAAACTGGACTCAATTCTTTCATTTTTGGTCACAGATTTCTGTACTCTCTCTTACATGAAAACTAGTTCTTACTGAAGCGAGGCACTCTGAATAACTGGTTTTAGGAGACACAGATATGAGAGTGACAGAGGGACCATAAGTACTTGACAGCTTATAGCATTGTTTGGGAGCCCACATTAAATGGCTAGTCTGATTTCCCTTTTCTGAGTCTTTTTCTTTCTCTTTTTTTAATAATCATTTTATTGGGGGCTTGTACAATTCTTATCACAATCCATACATCCAGTCATTGTATAAAGTATATTTGTACATTCGTTACCTTCATCATTC